TGCACGCAGCCGGGTCTACTTACTTCATGGCCTTGCTTTGCACCACGACGGCACTGATGAATTCATTGGAGAGGGCTGAGCTGTTGGAAATCAACGGCACCAGCAGTCACGGCCATTTTGGTGACGTGGCAAAAGCCGAGGGCATCACCCACGAGCTCCTGGCGGCGGCGACCGGCTACTTTGTCGATTTGTTGGACGTGGCCGAGAAGGTCGTGGGACAGCTCCGGGACGGTAGCCGTCCAACCTTTCTGTGGATCGCCCCTGCCGGGAAAGGTCCGGGCCCCGAGCAGGACTTTCAGGACGAGTTTGGCCGAGAGTCTCCAGGACAGGCCCGGAACCGTCTGCGCGCCCAACGTCGCTGCCTGGATGTGGCCCGTGTTTGGGCCGAGGCGGCGTGCGACCAAATCCGAGAAGGGCTGGAGTTTGTTTGGGAATGGCCGCTGAATCTTCGATATGGTCGGGAATGCCAAGCAGTACATAACATCAAGCAGGCGGCCCGTGAAGGCGGCCGAGCCCTCTACTACCTGGAGGTCGACGGCAGCTACTTCGGCGAGGAGAAGAAGGCCCACGGCAAGCGCTGGATGATCCTTACGTCCAGCCAGCAAGTGTCTGCGGTGATTCGCCGGTGTCACACGGTTGGGGAAAAGCCTTCCCCTGAGACAGGTCCGGTGGAGTTCCCCGAAAGACTGAAGAAGCTAGCCATCGAGGGCATCCACTGGGAACTCCGGAATCATGGGCCTACCCTTTCGGGCGAAGTCTACAAGATGATCACCGGCGAGCTTGAGAACTATGCCCTCACGAGAACGACCGGGAATTTGCCTGTGGAGCCCCCGACCGGGCGGAGGTTACAAGACGTCAAGGATCTGATGCTTCGCATTCATCGTGCCTCCGGCCACTCTTCCATGGAGAACCTGGCAAAACTATTGCAGAGACGCGGCTCGCCAGGCTGGGCCGTGGAATTGGCCCGAACACTCTCGTGCTCGGATTGTCAAGAGATGCAACGGGTCAAGGGGCCTCCACCGGGAAGCTTGGAGGACCCGCCGGGTCTCTGGGAAGTCCTGGGAATGGACGTCTTCGAGGTGGAGTACAAGGAGACCATCGAGGGCGAGGCCGTGGACTACAAGGCAAAGTTCCTGGTGATGGTGGATAGGGCCTCGCGATTCACAATGGTGCACCTCTTGCACAAGTACAAGTCCAGTGAAAACTGGGAACCGAGCACTCAAGACATCCGCCGGGCCATCATCAAAACATGGCTTGGGGCCAACCCAAGCCCCAAATGGTTTTTAGCCGATGCTGCGGCCTATTTCACCAGCCGGGAGATGATTGACTTTGCGGGGCGCAGCGGCACCGGGCTCCGAATAGCCCCTGCAGAGGCCCACTGGATCATGGGCGTGGAAGAGAGGACCATCCAGGTCCTGAAGCGCGCGGCTGAGAAGCTCGACCGCGAGGACCTCCGCCTTTCGATCGAAGAGGCTATGAAGCTGGCCGCCCATGGTCACAACTCCTTTGTGCACGCGGCCACTGGTTATAGCCCATTCCAATGGGCCAGAGGCTGGCAACGGGGCGAGGCTGTTCCTGTTGGGTTGGACCCGAAGCGTGCCTTCAGTCGACTTCTTCAGCTTCGAGCCAAAGCCGAGGCGGCCTTTGCGAGAGCAGACGCTGCCGAGAAGATGACTCGTTTGAACAACACCACCTCTCGGAGAACTTCAACGTTCAAGGCCGGTGAGTTGGTGATGTTGTGGAGACTGCGGGTGAAAGGCGGACGCGGAGGATGGGTTGGCCCGCTCCGTGTGCTGTACCAAGAGGACACTACCTTGTGGCTCGCCACCGGCTCGACGCTAGTTCGGGCGAAAGTAAATCAAGTGCGCTCACTGAGTGAGCGGGAGACCTTGATCGCGGCGACTCAGGGCACGACCATCTACAAGCAGGCCGTTGGGATGGAGATGCTGTTGCGCGGGTACCGTGGAAAACACTACACAGACGCCACGGCCGAGACGCCGGGGAACGATCTGGAGGAGGACTTGGAGCCCACGCAGATAAGAGTCGAGCCGGCATTGAACCCCAGAGGCGAGAAGGATTTTTGGGGCTTTAAGCAAGGGTGTCTGGTGCGGCATCACTGCGTTCCCCGCCTCACGCTCTTTGTGCCCAGCCGAATGAAGGATGTTCCCGTCATGGAGGAGCACCTCACTGGGAAACGCCGCACCATCTTGCAGGTGAGCGGCGGCGGCCAGACCATCGAGGACAACTACAAGAACGAAGGGCGACCCGGAAGGTCCTTGATGGATCGCTGGACAGGGGAAACTCAGTTCCAAATTCAAGCCGAGTTTCTTCACCTGTACCCTGGAGCAGAAGGACGTGAAATACCACAAGCACCTCGAACAGAAGGACGTGAAGTACCACAAGCACCTCGAACAGAAGGACGTGAAGTACCACAAGCACCTCGAACAGAAGGACGTGAAGTACCACTAGGAGCCGGTAGCCTAGGACCAGAGTCCAGTGAACCACCTGTGCCGATTCATGGTTCAGCTGCAGCCGGTGGGGGTGTGTCGTCAAGTTCGGCCGTTGATGTGGACATGGAGCCCGAGACACCAGTTCCTGAGCAGGCTTTACCTCAAGAGTTGCGCAGGTCTGCTGCCAGGGACTTACCTCCACAGCCAGAGTTTCTTGAGGAGGAGCACGCGAGCGCAGCACCTTACTCGACTTCCTCGTCGGGGACTGAGTCTTCAGACGAAGAGCTTGTTGAAGACCACCCGGGCTCTCCTTTAAAGAAACACCGGGCGAACTACGCGAGCCTGTTTCCCAAAGCAGAGCCGGACCAAACGGGCTATGCTTGCGAGATCGAAGTGAGCCAGCGGGACCTCCGCAAGGTGATGCGCAAGCCGCGCAAAGCTGATGTCTGGCTGTCTCAGAAGATGATGGAAAAATCAAAAGAAGTTAACTGGAGACACTTGACTCTGGAAGAGAAGCAGGAGTTCGACACCGCCATGGCCACGGAGGTGACGAACGTGGTGCGCGAAAGGGCGGTGAGAGCGCTCGCCCGCAACGAGCAAGCCTCTCTGGACTGGCGGCGGGTAATGCAAATGAGATGGGTGCTGACAAGGAAAGCCGATGGGCGAGCGAAAGCACGATTAGTCGTGCTTGGCTTCCAGGCGCCGAATTTGACCGAGGTCGAAACTGCTGCGCCCACCTTGTCTAGGACGGGGCGCCACATCCTGCTAAGTTGCGCCGCCAACCACCACTTCGTCTTGGAGAGCGGAGATGTCACCTCGGCGTTCCTCCAGACGATCGGCAGCCTCGAGAGTGAGAACCTGTTGGTCTATGCCCCGGCCGAGCTGGCGGTGATGTTCGGAGCCGACCCGAATGACGACGGCACGGTCCTCAAGCTCGTGAAGGCTTTCTATGGCCTGGTTCATGCCCCGAGGAGATGGCACGAGTCCGTGGTGAAATCCATGGTCGACTTTGGGTGGCGACAGATGCAGAGTGACAGGTGTCTGTTCGCCCTGTACGACCCCGTGGACGGACGCCTTATCGCCGTGGCAGGTCTTCATGTGGACGACTTTCTGATAGCAGGTGAATCCGATCACCCCAAGTACCTTGAGGCCAAGAAGGAGCTGCAGCAACAGTTCAAGTTTGGCAAATGGGACCAAGCAACGGGTGATGGCTTTGTGTTTGCGGGCACCCACATCACCCAGACCAAGGAGGGCATCAAGGTGGACCAGAGGGAGTACGTCTCTGACTGGATCTCAGAGATCTCCTTAGCGCCGACCAGAGCCAGGGAGCTGAAGTCACCTCTGACGCCCGCAGAAATCTCGGACCTGCGAGGCGCGCTTGGAACAATGGCCTGGAAAGCTTCGCAGACCGGCCCTCAGTTCCAGGCGGACGTGTCTCTCAAGCTTTCTGAGATCCCCTTTGCCAATGTGAAGACGATCTGGGAAACAAACAAGCTGGTTCGAGAGATGCGGCGCTCCTCTGAGCAATGCATTCTCTTTCCTGCCTGGGGAAGATCGTGGCAGGACATCGCCACAGTGGTTTGGGCGGACGCCTCCCAAGGGAACCGCCCGAACAAGTCATCTACGATTGGCTATGTGGCATGCCTGGGTCCAAAGGAGATACTGAGCGGGAACGAGGTCCCTCTATCCCTTGTGTCGTGGAAGAGCTCGAAATGTCCGAGGGAAAGCTTGGGAAGCAATGGCTCTGAGGTTCAAGCCGTGACTGTCGGCGAGGACGTTGTCTTCCTGGTGAGGGCAATGTGGCTGGAAGTTCACGGCGGCATTGTCAGCCGCGCCTCCTGGGAGAAGGAGGTCAGGGAGCAGACGGTCGGCGGTTTGGTGACCGACAGCAAGGGCATCTTCGATGCCATGACTCGGAATGTCTCGGCACTACATGGCTTGAGGTCTTCAAGAGCCGGGTTCGAGTTGACTGTGACGGTCCAACAGGCGATGAAGTTGAAGACTCAGCTTCGCTGGGTCAACGGAGTGGCCCAACTCGCTGATGCGATGACCAAAGCTGCCCCCACAGCCAAGAAGGGGATCTTAGAGTTCTTCCGTCGCGGCCAAACGTGGAGCGTTGTCCACGACCCGAGCTTCACAGCCGGCAAGAAGATCCACAAAGCGAGGATCCTTAAGGAGATCGAGGAGAGGCAGAGAAGCTTCCTTGTAGCCATGGAGGCTTTTTCGAGGTCGGGGAAGTTACCATGGTATCCTGATGATGTAGAAGAACCCCCTGATGACTTAGACCCTCAAAAACTCAGGGAAAAGTTATCCGTGTGACTTCCCATGACATGTACAGCATGCAGGACTGAACACTTGTGAACTGACCGCAGGGAGTGGTTGCTCGAGCAGAGACCAAAACGGCCGTTGAGCTTTTGAGGCTTGTGTGCCTTGTTTTACCGTGGCTTAGTGCTACCTTCAGATGGCAAAAGTGTGCTGTTAAAGCCAGTAGCTGCTCATGTTATCTGGAAGCCTGAGGCGAGGACCAGGACCCAACATAAAAGCTAGCAGGCCGAACGACGAGCGCTTTTGCAGCAGCATCCAGATGCTCGAAAGGTGCGACTCTGGATTTTAGCCGTTTAGGCCGTGCTCAGGGTTTACGGTATATTGAATGGTTTGGGTCTAATGTGTTTGTGCGCCCAATTTTATCCACCCCTTTCCTCATCCAACAGGTTGCCGCTGTGCTCCTCGGCAGCCCTCCGGCAGACTTTCGAGAGTGGGTGAAGATGCGGCAAAGGCAGGTGTGCAGCCGGCGTCAAAAACGGGTAGCTGTGAACTGAAAGTGTAGTATGTTGCATTCATTGTCAATTCAGGAACCAGAAAGCTCACCCAAAACCACCCAACCATAAGCATTGAGATAAGGGTTTCTTGGCTTACTCTGGATTGCCATTGCAGATCCCAAACCTTGATTGCGACTTTGCATCTGTTCTTTCTAGCTCATGCTCATCTGTTGTCATTACACCTTGTTCACTCGGTTGCATTTCTTTCGAGCTTGCTTAGATTGCTTGGAGTTGGTCAGGGCCGACATTGAAGCCAAGAAGGCGGGGACTCGCAGCCGTATGGTAGAACTGTCAGGCGAAGGGAGCTTCGGAAAAGGTGGCCTTCTGAGCCGACTGGGTGCGCTGAACTGCGGAAGCCATTGCACAGGCTCCCCCGTGTCTCTGTTTGTAGGCGCTTGGCGAAGAGCTGCCAGACGAGGTGGGATTCACTGGTCACGGAGGGTGTCACCCCGGTGCTGTTCTGGTACTCTCGTTTCATTTTCAGCGAGCTTGTGGCTGTTGATGATCCTTCTACGGAAGATGCAGTCCCTGCGTACTGTGCAACTGTGCAGTCGAATTGTTGGACACGAGCAGGTGATGCATGTTTTTTGGCGCGCATGAGTTCCCCTGGCCGCATTTACTCTTCGATGAATAGATCCAGAGGATACAGTTACAGCAACCCCCCAGTGATCTCCATCACCTACATGTACCAAGCAAAATCAGAAGCTTCCGGCTGGACAAGGCTTCGGAGACCCTCAGCTTTGGTGTGCCTGATGCTCTGGACAAGCCATGGCCCCAGTTTCTTGTAGAGTGGCCACGGTTCAGTTCGCACGATTTGGTTCGGGTGTTCGCGCGGTTCCCTGTTGGCCTTGGTGATGAAAGCCAAACTTAAACCCTAAGCCTAAACCCTCGCTCCCAACTCCTGCCTGGCCCCCTCCTTGTCTAGCCTTCCAGCAAAATTTTGGGCCCCGATGGCCTACCTGCACAAGCAAATATTGTCCAGCTTTTCAAGCGCGGCCGCAGGTCCGATGTTGCGAGCAGCAGTTCTGGAATAACTTCGGAACAGCACAGTACGTGTCTTCACGCCCTCGTATAGCCCCAGCACCTGTACCTCAATGCTTCAGCGGAAAAGACCTCTGAACCCAAAGCCGAAACCATCCTTCCACCCCCGCCAAACAGAAAAACAGGGCGCTGGGTGAATTCGCTCGCTTCACCTTGCCGAGCAGAGCTGAAGGCTGGGTAAAGCCGGTGTGCATCGAATCTTCCCTGTAGGCTGCAAGGGCTTGCGGGAAACTGTAGATTTTCTGCAAGGGCTTACCGGGTTTGCTGGAGTGTACAACGCTTTTGCAGGGTTGTCGGTGGTATGAGGTTTTGCCGTAGTTTAAAAGGGTCTTCTTCAGGGCCTTAGAATCAGAATCCTTAGAAGGTGGAAATGTCTTCTGCACATCTTGAGAGCCAAGTGGGGGTGACCATGGTTGGGCGGTTTTGACCTTGCCGTCACGTGCATTGCTGGCACCAATGACCACGCGCAGACTGCATTCCTAGAGTGAAGTGCCCCTGCAGAACTGAGGTTTCGACGAGGTCCGGTATGAATGGGCCAACGAGGCCCCCCAGCTTGCCGCCCGACGCGAGGGCTTCTTGCTTTTGCTTTCACTGCGCCGAAGTCTTTTGAGCACTCTCGTGAAATCAGCGTCCCGTCAGCTGGGAAAGCTTGAATGTTTGATGCGCATGCCAGAGGACTCCAGCGAGGGGCTTCGACAAAACTAGACGTCCAGGGCATGCCAGTGATCTCCGATGCTGGGCCCGATTCTGCCTATCATGGAGCCAGCAGGAACCAAGCGGAGAGCCAGATGCCCCTACCACCCCCTACCAAGCCTTGCCCCAACATGCCCCAATATGAGCGGTGCGGCAGTGGGCCGTCAAGCCCTCGGGCCTCCCATCTAAGTAGCACTCCGTATGTTAGAAACCACAAACCCTTAAGACCTCTGACGAAGCCATCAGGCGAACCTTGAGCTGAACAAGCCTACCGGATTGCTACGCTGCACCCGGAGAGCTTCAAAAGCATGTTTTCCGTGTGCTGCTATGTGGACCGGCCCTTTGCAAAGACTCACGAGCAGCCTGTGCAGGGAGAGGCGAGTTGTTTGCAAGTGGGGCTGTGATGGGCCGTGAAAAGGAACGTAGCCTTGAATCTTCAACTATTCGGGCAGACACCAGGGTTGCTTGACTTGTGCATACTTGCGCCACATTTGGGATCTGGTATTGTCACCAGCCGCTCACAAGCCGAAATCCTGTCCCGAACACGTGACGCGGCCAAGCATGTTGTGTGCAGAACCCTGATTCCAATGCACAAGCTTGCATCAGACAGTACAGGCACTAAAGTACCCTGCCCAACGAAGATCGGTCCCGGGTGCGCCAACGACGCACCAAGATCAGAAGAACACCAAAGACCATGAATGCAGTGATTCGGAGCAAGCGGGTAAAGGTGTTTGCTTGTTGCGACTTCTTGTTTCGTGCGCTAGTTGCGCTATGATACTTGTCTTGCTTCTTGTAATCATGAATTTGCCCTCCCCGTCTCCAGTTTGCTTTGTCTTCTTCGTGTTACGGAGAATCTGCAAATTCGACCTGTGCGACAGGTGCTTACAGCCGGCGACTCACCCATCTGCCAGGCAGCTTAGAGGGTGCTGCGTCCTCTGCCTGCTAGGCCGAACCCGACCCTTGAACTGAACTCCGAAAAGCTGGAGAACAACTGAGAGCGCTCAGAGCGGAGAAGCTCAAGAAGTGCTTTGTTCAGCCGCTCAGCCCATGCCAACGTGCTGCGCGACAGCATGAGTGCTTGCTACAGTACTAGCCCTTGGTCGTGCTGCAGTCGAAGGTTTTAATGACTTAAAGACAGTCTCGCAACAGTCGTAATGCAACCGGCCTCGTGGACGAGGCAAGTTGTTGAATGATGCATCCAATGTACGAGACTAGCCTGCCCCAGGTGGTTGCCTCAGCGGCGGAGAACCTGGGGGGCGAGTTAAGTGACTGGCAGCGTAGTTGGTGCACCGAGGAGGCCCGGCAGAGCTAGCACTTGTGGGAGTTAAGACTCATTTCGGCTCAAGCCTTTGCTGTTTCACATGGTGACTGCGCAGTAGTGTAGTCTTTGGCAGTTGACAATCAAAGCTTGCCTAGGCAAGAGAGTTCACTACAGCTCAAGGGGATAAGGGCTTGGCTGCGTGCAGTCTGGAGCCAGGGTCACCGTGCTAGAGCATGCGCAGCATATTGTGCCCGAATTAAGACTGCTAACTTTGGCTAGATTGTTTGTGCTTGCACCCATGGCTGTCTTGCGGTCGCGCTGCATGCGCAGCATAGCATACAGACCATGTCGCACCACCATGCGCATTGTGTTGGCCGAACATGTCTTGAGGGCATTGTGCCATTGCTAACTACGGCAGCAGCTAATTCCAGTGCACGCTGCCGCGGGAAACTTT